TTTTTCAAGACAAAAAAAAAATGTATTCAATTTCATGAGCCCCAAAGTCTCAAACAAAGTGGGAAAGCCATAACAAAAATGCAAGTTCAATTTCCTCAGGAACCCCAAAACCCACAATTCTTTTTGTCAAGACCAACAAATATACATTCAATTTCATCAGAAACCTACAAAAGCCCCAAAGTTCACATTTCCAAGAACAAGAAAATCTGTATTCAATCTAAGAACAAACCCATGCCAAAGTTCAATCTTACTAGATGGATTATTTCTATAGTAATTATATCTAAATAAACATCTACAACAATTTCATCAAAAACCGACAAAACCCATAATTCCCTCTTCATCAAACATCCCCGCAAGCCCAAATATGGATTAGTCAGTTGAATTATCCCACAAAATAAAATCTACAACAAACACCAAGGATTGCAACGCTAGCCTTGCCTTTGAACTAATAGCTTGTAGTCCACTTCCCCAAATCCTTGTTCCACTGTTGTAATCCCACCCAAGTTAGAGAAAGCAGTCTAGCAAGGGTGACCGGTGCTTCCCAATATATGCCATCAAAGTCCCAATTACAACAACTGAAAATTAAAGAGTTAAGGTCCCTAGTCTGAATCTTGCAGCCAATTTCTACTAAGTACTAACACAAAAAGAAAGTTAATCACGTGTCGAAGTTTCTTGTAACTCTGCTATCCCATGACAATGCAAACAATATGAGCACTAAACAACTCAATATTCACTTTCCAATTTACAAAAACAAATAAGATACATGAAATTTGAAGCAAAACCTGAACCGAATACACGTAAATAAGGAAGAAATAATTGAATTGATACCTAAAATATGTGTGAGAGACTTTAACGGCTTCCAATTTGATTTCTTCTACTTTCCAACACAACCCTCAAAATAGCCTTAGGGGCAGAACTTAATTCATGCTTGGGTCGCAAATATAACGGCTCAGGTGGGGAATGTGCAGGTAAAGGGTATCACACAATAACTCTCCACTGCGCAATCTCTCAAAATCTAAAATGTCTGGTGATCTTAGTTTAGAGCTTTAGTTCTTCTGAAGCACATAAGTGTGGCATAAATATTTTCACTTTGGTTGTATATTCAAAATGGAAAGCCAAAAACATTGCTAAATACAATGTCTACAAGATAAGAAGGGAAACATTGTGCAAGCACACCATTTTAACACAATTCAACCAACTATTTTCAGCATTCTGAAAAGGAACAAGCTAAAATGATATTATGACCTTCAATGCAATTGTTACCTGATCAAATCACTTGCTTGGTCTAAATGTCATACAACTTCTTCAAAGCATCTTTAATCTCCCTATTAGCACGCATGTCAACTATCAAAACCAATATAGTGTCATCATCAATCTTCTCCTGGGCAAATTCTGAAGTCAAAGGTTATTAGAGAATTTGATAATGGTCCAATTTATTCCTTTGAGTAGCGCAAATGCATGGATACTTTGGGTTCTCATCCATTTTCAATGTCTTAGGTCCATGGAACGTCATTTGTGTACGAAACTTCTTGGCTTTCTTCCTGACAGCCATCACATATTGGACAACCTTAGCCACCTTTAGTGCCTGAGCCTTTTATTTAGCCTTTTTTAAGGGTGTTAAGTTTTAGATTAGAAAAAAAAAACTATTAAACCGCCAAGTCATTCAGCTAAAAGCAGGAGAAATCAGCAGTCAAGCAATGCAAATTGTTAAGAAATGGATTCCGCTTAAGTGAATTCAGTGGGGTTGAAGGCATTTCAGTGGGTGACATCTTATACAAGGCACTCCCATTACTCAACCCAGTTCCCTATCTTTCTCCCATTACTTCAGGAGCAGTTTTGAGAAGCTTAATCCAATGCTTCTTAGGCGAGAAATGGGCATTCCCCTCCCTCACTTCCAAACTTTCAAGAAAATCTCCAATTATTAAAACACATACTACTAACAAACTTTCAGTTCCATGGTGATTATTAAATTTACAGTAGCAAAGCATAATTAACCACTTAATTTAAGCAAATGAACACAAAAGAAAAAATAGAAAATTGCAGGAAATTATTAAAAACAAACAGAGAGACAGAGAGAGAGAGAGCAACTAATTTTCAACATCGAAATTAAACGCCACAAAGAATGAAAAAAAGGACTCAGGAAGATGGTTGTAGTGGGGCAAACCCACGCGTGACACGTGTCAGCCCCGCTGACGGCGCACGCCAGGTCGGCAATAGTGATCCGGCATCCCGGGCGTATCAGCTCGAAATAAGGGAGAACAGCCCGGTCTGGGCCGCCGCCTCTCCATGGATAGGCCTGATGGGCCGCCGCCTCCGAACCTTCAGGGGCTAACATACAAAACCCTAAGAGGACTCCGAACCCTAAGGGGACACCCACATCTACATGAAAACTACCACTCGTTAAGCCTATAAATATAGCACTACTCGACAACTCAAGGTACACTATCTACAGTGCTCTATACTGTTACCCCATTCTTAAGTTCTACTGACTTGATCGTCGGAGCTACTGCGGGGACTCCAATCCTGCCATTGTTCTTTCTCTGTAGGTCGGCCTGCTCGATTTTCCCTCTCAGCCTGGTTGCACTCAGCCAGCCCGGCACGGAGCAGCTCAGCTCGGACTGCGTCTTTGGCTGTCGCATCAATTAGCGCCGTCTGTGGGAAACACGTATAACTCTTCTCTCGCGAATCATGCCAAGGACTAGGTCTCAGAGGAACGCTGACGGATCCAAGGGGACCGAACGAAGTGGCCCCCAAACCCCCCTCGGGGTCCAACTCCTGGAGAAGAAGGGACGGGGCTCTCACGAATCCCGCCTGAACAGCTGGTCCAGACGGTGGCGGAAAACCTGCCCACCTTCGAGGCAATCGTGAACTACCTCAAAGGGCAGTCACGAGATCATCAGGACAAGAAACCTAAGGTCCAGGGAGTAGAAGGAGTAGAGCTGTCAGAGTCCCGAACAGGGAGCCCCAAGCCCGGGGCGAAGCGGGCGCGCCGGGAACTCACGCGTGAGCAGGTCGAGGTCGTAGAGCCCTCTCACAAGAACTCCCGAACTGAACACCCGGAGCCCATCTGAAGGTTCTCCAGGGGAGAGCTCTCCCCCCTGAAAGAGCGACAACAGGTACGGGATGAGTTGGACCTACTGTTGGATCCTGAGGCGGACAGGTACATCGCTTCCCCCTTTGTGCTCGATTTTGAGGACTACCCGCTGCCCGCGAAGTTCAAAATTTCAAACATGAAATCCTACGATGCAACTACGGATCCGGAGGACCACCTGTTCGCATTCCTGACGCAGATGCGCCTGCAAACGGCCGCGGATGCAGTCAGATGCAAGACTTTCCCAATGTTCCTGGAGGGAAAGGTCCGGCAGTGGTTCCAGGGACTTCCCCCCAGGTCGATCCGGTCTTTTACCCAGCTCGCACGACTATTCTCAGCACAGTTCGTTTCTTCGCGAGCCTTCTCTAAAAGCACTGCTCACTTCATGACTATCTAGCAAAGGCCCGAGGAGTCACTACGCGAATACATGGTACGATTCAACAATGAGTCCCTCCAGGTCTGCGACCGAGACGACAAAGTGGTCATGGCTACCTTCATCAACGGGCTACGAAAGCAGAAGTTATACACTGAACTCGTAGAGAGACCTCCCAAGTCAGTTCGGGAGATGCTGGACCGAGCTCACGAGAAGGCCAACGCTGAGGAAGCTAATCGCTTGAAGAGCGCGCAGGAAAGGCAGAGGAACGACAAACGCCGAAGGAATGCCAACCAGGGAGACGTGCGGCGTGACCAGGGGCGAAAGAATACCTATGACCGCCTGCCTAGGAGTCGGCCCCTGGGGGGAGATAAGTCCTGGACTTCCCTCACAGTGCCCCGAGCTCGGGTCCTTGCGGTGATGGAGCAAGAAGGGCTTTCCCGACCTCCCCGACCCTTGGCCAGGGACAAAAGCAGACGGGATCAGAGCCTATACTGTGCATATCACCGAGATATGGGGCACGATACGGAGGATTGTCGTCACCTCAAGAAGGACATTGAAAAGTTGATCAGACGAGGCCACCTTAGGTAGTTCATACGCGACGAACGGGTTGACTAGCGACGGGCGAGGCCCAAATCAGCTCACCTAAGCTACCCTCGCGACCGACCTCAAAGGTCTCATGACCGAACTCCCGAGCAGGAAGCTCAGAATCTGGTTGGGGTAATCAATACTATTGCAGGGGGACCGGTTGGAGGGGATTGCCATACAGCTCGGCGGCATAACCGCCCCCCTCCCGGCGGAGAAAACTCGAGCAAACAGCTGAAAATGTACGAGGAGATTCTCTACGGACCAGAAGATGCAGTGCCTTTGGCCTCCAATAACCACGAAGCTATCGTGATAGAAGTCATCACCTGCAACTACAAGGTAAAGAAGGTATACATCGACAATGGCAGTGCCATCGACGTGCTGTACTACAAGACCTTTAAAGAGCTGCAGCTAGAAGACAGACAGCTCGTCCCAGTCCGAACTCCATTGATCGGCTTTGCCGGCCCTCCGGTAAGACCAAAGGGAATGATAACTCTCATGGTCACGGTGGGGGTCTCGCCAAAGTGCCGAACGGTGCCAGTAAATTTCACGGTGGTAAAAGAGCACTCATCGTACAATATGATTCTGGGACGTCCCACTCTGAACGTCCTCCGGGCTGTCTGTTCCACCTTGCATCTCAGCATGAAATTTCCTACCCCAACTGGGGTAGCGGAGGTGCTCGGAGATCCGGAGGTGGCTAGGGCCTGTTATATTGCAACGCTCAAGGGTAAGAAGAACTTGGTAGCCCAAACCGTTTGCTTAGAGCCCTGGGAGCCCATGGAAAAAAGAGAGAGACTGGAAACAGATGAGGGGCTGGTTGAGCTGCCCGTCCGGCCTGACCGACCTGAGCGCACGGTCAAGGTCGGCACCTGCCTAAATGAACGGGCCTGAAGCTCTCTGGATTCCCTTTTAGAGGAATACACGGACATCTTTGCTTGGAGCGCAGATGACATGCCAGGGATCCCCATCGAGCTAGCGGTTCACAAGCTACACGTGGACCCCAACGCCCAACCGGTGAAACAAAAGAAGATGAGCTTTGCACCTGAGCGAAATGAGGTAGTCCGAAGTGAGGTAGACAAATTATTAGAAGCCAAGATCGTGAAGGAGGTCTTCTACCCGACCTGGCTGGCTAATCCAGTGCTGGTCAAGAAGGAAGAAAGAGCTTGGAGGATGTGCGTGGACTTCACTGACTTAAATAAGGCTTGCCCAATACATTGCTACCCCCTCCCACGGATTGATCAGCTCGTGAACTCAACCTCGGGATACGAGATTTTTTGTTTTCTGGACGCATTCAAGGGGTATCATCAAATAGCCCTGGACGAGGAAGATCAAGAGAAGACCTCATTTATCACTGAGAACGGCACTTATTGTTATGTCACCATGCCGTTTGGACTAAAGAATGCAGGCACAACCTACCAAAGGTTGGTTAATAAATTGTTCAAAGACCAGATCGGCCGAAATATGGAGGTTTACGTGGATGACATGTTGGTGAAAAGCCGGACTCAGGAGCAGTTCATCGCAGACCTCAGGGAAATTTTCGATGTCCTTCGAAACTCACGGATGCAACTAAACCCCAAAAAATGCACCTTCGGGGTCAGGTCGGGAAAGTTCCTGGGCTACATGATTTCCAAGGAAGGGGTGAGAGCTAACCCGGACAAAATCAAGGCCATCACAGACATGGCCCCTCCCCGAAACATCAAGGAGGTTCAGCGCCTGACCGGGAGGATGACGGCTCTGAACAGGTTCCTGTCTAAATCGGCAGTTCGGGGCTCCCCTTTCTTCAAGACCTTGCGAAGGGCTCCGCAATTTGAATGGAGCCCCGAGTGTCAGAGAGCGTTCGACGAACTAAAATCCCACCTGGCTCGGTTGCCAGGTCTAACTTCTCCCGAGCAGGGTGAGACCTTGTTTGTCTACCTAACTGTGGGGGAAGAGGCTGTTAGCGCGGTGCTGGTACGAGAGAAAGATAAAGTTCAGAAACCTGTGTATTATGTTAGCCGAGCTCTGCAGGGGGCCGATGCAAGGTATTCGGTGGTGGAACGGTATGTCTTCACATTAGTTCATGTAGCTCGAAAACTCAGGTCGTACTTCCAAACTCACCCCATAGTGGTGGTAACGAACCAACCCCTGAAGCAGATCCTCTCTAAGCCCGACGTCTCGGGACGAATGGTGAAGAAGGTTGTAGAGCTGTCAGAGCACGATCTCGGATACCAACCGAGGACCACCATCAAAGTTCAAGTTTTGGCGGACTTCATAGCAGAAGACGTCTCCTTTGCGTCACGCGGAACTGAGGTCGATCACACCAGACAAGCAGTCGAAACCCTACAGGCCAAAGAAACTGCCAAGGCCACACAAACCCAAGAGGTAGACGAGGCCTTGCAGGCTGAAGACGCTGCCGAGGTTGCCCAGGCCAACAAGGTAGCGGAGTTCGGACGGACCGGAGACGCAGCTGAGGCCAAGCAGGCCGGAAAGGCTGTCGAGGTGAAGGGGGCCGGAGAAGCAGCTGAGGCCGAGCAGACCGGAGAAGCTGCCGAGGTCGGACAGGCCAGAGAAACGGCTGAGGTCGGTCAGGTCGGAGATGCTGCCGAGGTCACACAGTCTGGAGGAGCAGTTAAGGCTGAACCAGCCAGGAGGGCTGCCCAGACCAGAGGGGCTACAGAGGCTGCAGGACGATCAGATCTGGTCTGGACGCTGTACGTAGATGGCGCATCAAGCAGGGAAGGATGTGGAGCAGGTCTTCTCCTAATCAGCCCTACTGGGGAAGAGCTGGCCTACGCCCTGAGGTTCGATTTTAGAGCCTCCAATAATCAATCCGAGTATGAGGCACTGGTTGCGGGGATGGAGATGGCACCGAAATTAGGGGCTGAACTAATAAAATTTTACAGCGATTCGCAGCTGATAGTGAACCAGGTAGGGGGAAGCTATGAGGTCAAAGAGAAGCCTTTGAGAAAGTACGTCGCCAAAGTGCGTGAGTTGAGGGACCAATTCAAACAGGTCATCCTGGAACAGATCCCCTGGAGCCAAAACAAGAGAGCTGATGCCCTATCCAAGCTGGCCTCTACCTCGTTTAACACCCTAAATCGAGGGATATTGGTGGAGGTCGTTAAAAGTCGCGCCTATGAGCGGTTGGACGCCACAGTCATTCAGGTGGTAAATTCTTGGATGAACTCATTGTCCAGTATCTAGCCCACGGAGAACTCCCCCCGAGCAGGACGGAGGCCCGCAAAGTCCTTCTCAAATCGCAAAAGTACGTACTTACAGAGGGAGTACTCTATAGGAAGTCCTACTTTCAACCATGGCTAAAGTGTGTAACGCCAGAGGAAGGGAGCTATATCTTGCGCGAGCTGCATGAGGGCATCTGTGGCAGTCACGTCGGGCCAAAGGTACTGGCCAAGAAGGGAATGCTATCTGGATACTATTGGCCCACCATCTTTCGGGACTCAGCCGAGCTGGTGGCGAGATGTAGACCTTGCCAGTTGCACGCCTCAATTCACCACGCCCCAACTCAGGAGATGATTCCACTCCATAGCCCATGGCCATTCTTCCAATGGAGAATAGACCTACTAGGCCCTTTCCCCCGAGCTCTCGGAGGTCATGAGCATCTGGTAGTAGCTATTGACTACTTCACTAAGTGGGTAGAGGCCGAGCAGCTCAACACGATCAATAGTAGGTCAATCCAAAAGTTTCTTTGGAAAAACATAGTTTGCTGATTTGGCATACTGCAGGTCCTAGTCTCGGATAACGGCCGACAATTCGCAAATAGCTCCCTCCAGGAATGGTGTTCAGAGCTCGGTATACGGCAGCACTTCACTTCCGTGGGGCATCCACAAGCTAATGGACAGGTCGAAAATGTTAACAGAACCATCCTACATGGCTTGAAGACACGAATAGAGTCTGTCCGGACTGGGTGGCTGGATGAGCTGCCCATCATACTATGGTCTTACCGGACTCCACCCCGGACGGCCACTCAAGAAACCCCGTTCGTCCTGACATACGGGGCCAAACCAGTGATTCCAGCAGAAATTGGGGTACCCTCGGGTCGGGTACAGCATTTTGTGGCCCAGAACAACGAAGGGGAGATGCGGCTTAACTTAGACTTGCTCGAGCACCGTCGGGAAAAAGCATGCATAAGAATAGCAAAGTACAAGGGTTAGGTCGCACGATATTACAACGCTAGGGTTAGACCCCTCTACTTCAAGCCAGGGGACCTGGTATTGCGAGGAAACTCCGTAAGCCGAGCTGCAGGCGTGGGCAAGCTAGATCCGAACTGGGAAGGTCCCTACGTGGTAAGGGAAGCTGATCGCGCGGGGTACTGCAGATTAGCTCATCTCAATGGGGATGAAGTTCCGCGCACCTGGCACAACTCGAACTTGAGGCTCTTTCGTTAGAGCTCGACGGTAAGCTGGAAGGCTTTTACGTAATAGCTAAAGAGGTCAGCTCGGCAATTTGTTAGCTCGGCTTTCGGTCTCGCGAAAATGTATCAAGGATTCTATGGAGAAATAAAGAAATTTTACTAAGTGTTTAATGAAAAGGTTATCTATTCACTTTAAAAAATATGTACATTAGGGGGCCGTACAAAACGAGCTGGCCAGCTCGGATCCTACCCTACGACCTATCTACGCCTACGCTAAAGTGCTACCTAGTTCTCCACTTGCTGCTCCTGCTCGGGCTCAGGGGAGGTCGCGGGCAAGGAGGGGTCGGCCACCAGCGCGGCCAGGTCGCGTCCGTGAGCATAGCCCTCCACGAGCCTGTCGATCTGGTGTACCGCCTGTGGATTATACTCAGGCCACTTGCTCAGATCGAACCCAGGCAAGTTCAGCGATTGGACGTCATGCATGGCTGAGCGTATCCAACCTGGAGGATGGGCCCATTGAGAATGGCCAGGTCCTTCGTAAAATCCTCAAATTTCTTGAAATCCTTGACGCCCAGTTGACGACCGTCCTGGCGAGCCGCTTCGATTTGGCTAGGTAGCTCGGCGGCTTTCTTCTGTTCGGTCTCCAGTTGCTGGGCCAGCTCCACAGCTTTTTTCTTCTCCAGCTCGTAGGCAGACTGGGCCTCGGCGAACTGCTTCTTCACGGACTCCAACCCTGCCTCTGCTGTTTCGAGCTGGCTAGACAGTCTATCCTTGGCAGCATCAGCCTGGGAGAGATTCTCCCCCATGTTCTCATACCGCTGTGCCAGCTCTGCCCCAGCGACGTTGAACTGCAGATCAAACGCAGAATAAGCAACCAACAAGTTAAAGGAATTTCATTGAAGCACCAGTCGAGAAGATACCTGGGCTGCGCTCAGGTACAAGTGCTCCAGCAGCTCAGAATTGGAGGCGAGCTGGATGAAGTGGTGATCCCGTGGGAGCACCGTGCCCCTTATGAGCTCCCGAGCAGCTTCTGGAAACTGAGTTCGGTCATTCACCGACAGCCCCCATTTTGGGCAGAAGTGCAGGGGGTGTGGGTGCGGGCTCAGTTCGGCGGGGGGTTTCAAAGGAATTACGTTCCTCATGCGCCACATAGCTGGCGGTGATTCTGATGAGGCCTGCTGCTCGGCTGAGTTCACCCCATAATACTCCAAGGGAGCGACCGTGGGAGGTGGTTATGGCGCCTGGATAGCGGAGGAGGCGATCTCCGTTCTGGCCCTCTTGACCGTAGATTTCTTTCTTTTCTTCTGGGCCCCCTTTCTTTTTAACCTATGAAAATTTGGAGTACGCAAGATACCCCGAATATTCCAGAATAAAAAATTAATCATCAGATAATACAGAGAAGGAGTTAGAGCACACCTTCGTCTTCGAGCGTAAAGTTCGATCAGTTGGAGCTCGCGGACGAACACCCTTACGCCTAGGTTTTTCAACTAGCTCAACATCCTTTCCAAAATTAGCCTTCTCCTGAACCTGTTGGATGATTGGATCAAGGTTGAAAATATCGATCACCAAGGAGCTCGACTCACAATGCCGTTGGATCTATTGCCCCCTTGGCGATAAGCTACCAGCCCGTTGCTCAGCCATGGAGATATCCGCCTCTCCCAACTGCCCTTCAGAGCTCATATCGTCATCTCTCTCACTCATTACCCCAGGGCCTGCCTCACTTCCCACCACCGACCCAGCAGCTACGGATGGATGCACCTGCAACTGCTGGAGCGACAACCCGCTAGCACGCTCGTGCATCAGCAGACTTTCATCCGCCTCTCCCTTACTAGTTCCAGCAGTCGCTAGCAGTACGCTAGTTCCAGTCGCAACCTGCTGCTGCCCTTCTCCCAAACCCACGACCTGCATCAGCGCCAACTCCTCCCTATCATCTATTCGCTGCCCTGCTGCCTTCCCCTCCTCCTTCAAAGGACTGACCTGTTGTTGCCGCACTGCCACACCTCCCCCAGCACTTGCCCCTCTGCTGGCCACAGGAGAAACTCCTTCCAAAGCCTGGGCAGTCTCCTTTCCAGCAGTCACCCGCGGATGCAGCACGTTCTCCCCCTGTTGGTGTCGCGCTGCTGCATCTCCCCCAGCACTTGCCCTAACGCTGGCCACAGGCGAATCCCCTTCCAAATCCTGGGCAGCCTCCGTTCTAGCAGACACCAGCGGATGCAGCTCGATCTTCCCCAGTTGTTGCCGCACTACCGCACCTCCTCCAGCACTCGCCCCTACGTTGGCCACTGGAGAATCCCCTCCCAACGACTGGGCAATCTCCTTTCCAGCAGACACCAGCGGGGCTTTCTCAACAAACGTACGAACAACATCACCCTTCTTCTCCACCTTCTCCAACTTCAACGCAGGGTGAAGAACAAAACATACATCCCTGTCATGTCCCTGCCTGAAGCAGTGATCACAATATTGGGGAAGTCGTTCTGGTACAAGCTGCTGCCAAAAACCACCGTGCTCCCCATTACCAATCCATATCCGCGAAAGAAGAGGTTGAAGCAAGTCAATCTCCACACACACCCTAGCAACACTCTGACGCACTCCAGACGCCGTTGCAGAGTCCACTAACAGAGCCTTGCCCAAGCAGCTCACAATCTGAAAGAGACACTCCTTGTGGAAAAGGTGAATCGGCAATTTTTCGGCAATTGGAACCAAGCCGGCACCACCGAAGGCTCCCGATCCACATGGAAGGCGGCTGACCATTTAAACACTCGCAGCGGAACTCCGTGAATATACCAAATTCCACGAGACCAAATCCTAAGGAAATCCACCCCGTTCCCCAGACGGATGAGAATATGCCGAGAGTCAAGTAAGCCGACCGACGCTGTCTCCTTGAGATCCAATGCCAGAAAAAACTTCCGTATAACCTCCATGCTAGGCCTTCCCTTCGAGAATTTGCCGACGAGAGCAAATGTGAATGGAACGGTCAGATTATCAAGATCCTCTTGCGCAAAAGATATAGCAGGCTCGCCCCTATGAGAAGAGCGCATAGCCTTAACATTGAGAAGGGGCTTTTCCGACTGAGCAAAGAGAGCAGAAAAAGACTTCTTCGCAAAGTTGGGAGACAGCGAAGGTGGTTGCCCTCTAGGCACATGCCGGAGGGCAGCCATGTCTGCCATGCAGCAACCGATACCCTAGGAAGAAAAAACAGGCGACACCCTAGAGAGATTTTCGGATGCAACCCTATCCAACCTATAGGGATTTTTTTTTAATTTTGTTATATTATTTAGCATTGTAGTTATGGTTAGTAGACAAGGATAAGGGTGTTTTGGTTCGAAGTATATTTTGTTATGTTGTACAAGGAATGGATTATTGGCATTCGTATTTGTTTCTTATTTTCTTAATGTGATGAGCATGTGGTTGTGTTAGTTCTTTCTTTCAAAGATTGAGAAAAATGAAAGATCATGGGTAAAGTGAACTTGGAAAAATAGAGTAATTGTTAGAAGCTCTCTAATAAACCATGTATAATAGTAGAGATGCAGACAATAGAATGGTGTAATGATAAAACTAGGATAGAAAGTTCATTATAAATGCATTATAATGTATGATAAAGTAGTTAGAAAGCATAACACCAATTATAAAGAGAAAAAAAAAAGAAAAGCATGAAGATGCTTATACAAAGAAAATATAGTAATACATACAAGTGCATAAAAAAAGAAGATTAAAAGAGTTTCTGCAAGTGAGTTCATTACACAAGGAATGTTGTCTCAAATTTCACTTCCGTTTTCAGTACAAACGATGATCTAATAATTGAGCATTGTTGTTGAGAGGAAGAATAAGAGTTCATTTATTTTTCTATCAATCTAGTTGAGAAATTCCATCCATCCTTCTGTAAGATGGTTGTTATCACAGTGTGTCTGGGCATGCATGTTTTGTCTATGTAGTTGAATGATTGAAGTAGGGTTATTTCTTTGTTTGGGTGTGCTGATTTGAAGGGCAATTTCTGTGAATATATGTTATGAATTAGCTTTATTGCATAATAATTTATAATAACAATAATGTAAAGAGAGATTATACCAGTTCAAGAATTTCTTCAAGGGTAAGTCGGTGAAAAAATACTGGAAAAGTTAAATCCTGTGTGAAATTGTTCGGTAAGCCAGTGATAACTTCGTGACAGACATAAGCAGAGCTGTCAAAGTGCATTTGTGCAAATGGATCTGGCTATGGTTTATGTGATGACTCCACCTCCTCCTAGACCGTATGTGACGACCCCACCTCCCCCTAGGGCGTACCCCAGGGTTTAGCGGACCGCCTGCCCAACTCTCGCCAGGACTCACTCACTCAATTCAACTCAAATAGGGTACAACCTCAAGAATAAAGGAAATAATCGATACCAAATTTGGAAAGTACAATTACATTCATTTCTGTCTCAAACATCCATACAACCCCAAATACATCAAAAGATTGGAGTTCTACATACATTCAACCCTAATCGAGCGACTAGTGCGAGTACAATTACAAAATTTAAAAAAACTAGACTACGCTAGTCTGTACAAGTCTCACGCCTCGCTCGTACCCCCTATAAGGAAAACAAATGGCATGGAATGAGCTAAAATCCCAGTGAGGTTCCAAACAGCAAGTTGACCATTATTTCAAAGTGAAAGTATCAAAATAGGAAAATAGCGAGCATAACAAGTCAAGAAAATGAGCAATAACACTTCAAGTAGCAAATCTCAAAATAAGCGAGTGTAAAGTGTTTTTGTTTTTCAAAAGAAACTATAATCCAATAAGCAATAATCATTTCAAAGTGTA